TTCATGTGAGCCTTCAACAGCTCCAGTCACACAAGTCAATCATCAAGTTCCTTTGTGTGGAGTTTTAAGACAGTCTGCATGAAGGGTCATCGACTAAAGCTGACACACCTGCGCCCTCTTGTGGTGGGTTATGCATGTTGTTTCTGGTGTAATTATACTATGACACAGGTTCAAAGGTTTATACAATAGCCTGTCCTGCTTTGATAACTCCAGACCTCCTGCCAAGTTCTACTGGTTTATCAATCATTCTTTATAGAGCACCAATTCATAATGTTTTTGATCTCAATACACTTTACAAAAAGAGCAGGTCTAGACCGTACTCTTATAGTATTTAAGACCCAACATTTATCCACCATGAGCACAGCACAAAACAACATTTAGCAAAGTAACAGTGGCAAGGATAAGCTTCCCTTTTATACAGACAGAAACTTGAGCAGACTCATGTTGACAGTCATCTGCTGACTCTGTGTTAGGCTTACAGGAAGAGAGCTAGAACAAGACAAACAAACAGAAACAGCAATAATGAATAAAACTGATTTATAAATACAATGCCAGTAAAAATGGTAAAAGTAAGTGTGGTATAAGCAGTAATAAAGTATGATAACTGACTGATCTGTCTAATATTAACAGAATAACTATAATGACAATATAATAAGCAGAAGTGCTAAAGTTAATCATAGCGGATGAAGTCGAGCAGCTCTTTGATCCCCATTTCCATTCATAATAATGACGATAGACGTCAGACTGATACAAATGGAGACCAGCAGCCCGATCTCAGACTGATTAATATTCTGCACCACACCTGTTGGGACTCAAACAACAACAAACTGACAAACGTTGCATCATACCTGTGTCTGGATTGGATAAAATAAAGGATTTTAACATTATCAAATGAATCATTTACATATGTGTAAAAAGGGTGTATCAATCATAGGAGGCAGCTGTGGCTCAGTGGCAGAGTCGGTTCAATCCTCAGCTCCTGCAGTCACATGTTGAAACTAAAGACACTGAATGCCAAATTGCTTCTGCTGCTGCATCAGAGGCGTTTGAATGTGTATTAACTGGATTAGTTGATACTGATGGACACTACTTAGCAGACTCTGCCATCAGTGTGTGAATGTGATGTGAGTGGGTGAATTTGACATGTGGTGCTTTGAGTAGTTTGAGTTGTCAGAAGACGAGAAAGTCAATTTACCAAGTCCATCATTCCATGTGGAGGGCAAACATTTCTGAATGCAATCTGGTAACATAACCTTAGTATTTAATTATAATGTCAAAGTGTATTTGTCGGGTATGTATTTTATGGAGTGAGCCCACGAAAGGGGGAAAAGCTTGTGGTGCCACAGAAAAAAAGACATAAGGATGTAGAAGCCATGTTCAGGAGTATGAAGTGTAAGACACAAATTGTTCCAGCTGGTGTCACCTTTGGATTAAGGTGATACTCTTTATAGGTAAGAAATTTCACTGGGGTGTCAGGTGTTGCTAGATCGAGAGCACATACACTTTTTTGACCGCTTTGCCACGCTATGAGGTAACACAGATGGAATCTTTGAATGGAAATTTATGGACAATTGTTGTGATCATGCAGAAATGACATTTATGAAGACCACGGTGGAATGAGAAATAAATATTCCATTAATGAAGAAGATATTGGACTGTTTTATTTCACAGTCTAACGCTCAGGAGAGAAGCTGAGTAGTACTGTTTGTTACCCTAACATGAACCCTAAACAAGCATGGCATGTGCTCTGTGCTGGGCTAACATTGGCTACAGCAAGCAAGCAGCTTCCTGCACACATTCTTACAGCTCCAATATGTTAACCTCTGCATTTCATTATTGATATGACATGACATTGACTTTTTGATCACATTTTATGATCGTATTCTAAGAAAAAATACAAAAATAATATAAATAGTGAAATACTTGTGATATACTCACTAAAAATCACAATGCAAGAGGAAAGCATTGGCTACAAATACTGATAACAAAACACTGACAACATGAACATTAAATGACCATATTACTTTCAGCATAGGGTTCTTTTTCATATAATCAAATAAGCAGTACATTTCATTTAATTTCCAACCTTCATTTATTCTCGAAAGGAGATTGAAGTTTCCCTCATTTCAAATGCCGTCGAAATTACAACATGTTAACCTTCCGGTTGAGAGGCAACGACTCTACCAACTGAGTCACAGCCGCTGACATGACTCTCAGTATGTGAGTAGAGCATGTGTTTTCAAACATTTTGTAAGCTTTATACTTTTAGAGTGCAGCTTTATGTTGGTGCTTGTAGGACCCTGGGGAGGGTTATACATAAGGGTGACTTAAGAAAGTGTATTTCTCCCTTTTAGTTCCAGGGCTTCTCTTCAATGAACTTAAAGGTTCTTGTGGCCTATAGTAGTCAGCATGTCAAACGCTGCCTGAAGTCCTGGATAAACAATGCAAAGCAGGCTGTATTGCTTTGTAAATGGATTCATTGATTATGATTGAAAGGAGAGTGTGTGTTTTGTTAAAGAATTAAAACTCACTCCCATCCCAACTCCCCATTTCACCCAAAGCCAAAGAAACACTTTATAAGATGATAAATGATATTAACCCCTACTTAAAAAATAGTTGATATGGAAATTTTTGTAATTATGAAATTACAAGCGTGAATGTATTTTTGTTTTAGTAAAAGTCAAACCACTTTTTTATCTTCATGAATGACTTTATAAACTAAGAAAAAATATATTAAAACTCAATAATCTTCAGAGATAATCAAAACTGCGTAGGTTTTGATTCCAGACTATACCTCTGACTGTTCTTCTTTTGTTGTTTTCTTTTTATTTATACGTTTGTTTCATTCCTCTGTTCTTTAAGTCTTGCTTAGTGTTTTTGTACTTTTTCATAATAGTAACAGAACAGATAGAGGTGGGGAAAAAGCAGTCTTGCAGGCTTATAGATTCAGTATTTTAAACATTACAGGTGGTCTAAAACCCTGCTGAGCCTGACCAAACAGATTTGTTCAACACTGCAGGAGCTGCATACCCTGCTCCCCAAAGTTCCTGGTTGAAAAAGGGGCTGTAGTTGAGACACATACCTGTTTTTTTTGGTGAACCATCTGGTGTGGAGATAGCTAATGCTGTAGATGGTAAAAGTACAACATAACCTAGAGTTAACCAGAGAGATGTTCATTAATATAGTTTATGATAACATAAACAACATAATCATAGTGATTCACAGGTCTTTCTATGCTCATTGATGTGAATTCTCCCCATGGAAGTCTAAATGGCGACCTCTGGTGGACAGAGTTGTCACATCCACTCAATGTCTTGCAGGATTGATTATTGCAGGTGTGCCTACAGCCCCAACTCAAAGCTGTAGATCTCTGCGATCTCCATCCACTACCTCTGCCATGCGTTCCTGAGCAAGACTTGTTGTTGATGTTTATTTATCTTCTGTTTCTTGAATCTGTTTGAGTTCAATATTAATTTAATCAAGATGGTAATTGTTTGTTCATAGTTTCGTGATTAGTTTATATTGTTAATTTGGAAAATGTGTCGTTGATACCACAGAAACCACGGCTTTGGATGGGAAATAAATCCTTGAAACTGCAACCCCTGTCATCTCTTTGATTTTTGAGTCTTAGGCACAATCTTAAGAACTTGAGAAATTTTAATACCCACTATCATCACTCCTCCACTCCCCTCCTCTTCCACCCTCCACTCGGCTGACACCAGACATGTTTGCCTCATATTTTGGCACTAACAATTACCTCACTCACCTCATTCAACCTCTGACCGAGGACAAAGTGTCTCAGCTGTATTAGACTCTCAGCCCACCACCTGTCCTCCAGACCCAATGCCACCAAACCCCCTTAGGACCATTTCCTCTACCTTCTCTTTGTCAAAGGGTGTTTTCCCCACTGCATTGCTGTTTCAAAGTCGCTTTTCATCAAATTAGGTAAATGATTAATTCACTCCTACACTGATGCAGATATATTAACACAAAACACATTAGACATTACTTCCTTATACGACCAGCATAATCAAAATCCACATTCTGATACTCACTCATCCTTTAGGGCTTGGTCAGAAGTGTGAAACATCACTCTTTTCTCTGTTACACTTGACGGGACGTTGGATAAAATGGAAAAAGCTGTGATCAACATCCTCCTGGGAGTCTTTTCAGGTAAGCTATCACCATGATGCAGCACATACATGAAGATTTTCCATCAGCTTACTCAAGGACACAAAGAAAGATTTTGTCACATAAACTGGTATTTATCATTTGTTTTAGGAAATGGAAATGATCAATATCGTCTTTCAACAACATCATGTAGATCCCATAACTGGAAAAATATCTGTTTGCTTCAAAGTAGTTAGCAAACAGTTCAAACTCAGTACAGCCTGGCTAAAAAACAAAACTTAAGAACATTGAACTAATCTGATTTAATTGTACTTTTATTGGCTACACTAATATTCGGAATATCAAATGCACAGCCAGAGAGCAATTTACTTTCAAGGAAATAATTGTCTTCTGTCAATGTAGATATTATGAATAGAAACTTTAACCTAATGTATAAAACATGTACTGTGTATCGCAGACTATCTGAAAGTGTTTGACCAACTGTTCTTTTTGTATTTTCCTTAATGGACATGTCAATGTTTGGGTTTTGAAAGAGAAAGCATCAAATAATAAAAGCACTGCATTACATTACAACAAAAGACCTGAAACCAGCCTTGTGTTAATCATTGATTCAAGTTTGACTTTAACCTCTACAAAAAGCAGAAATGATTTCCTTCATTAAGAACAGAGGGCCTTTTAGTTTGGATCTCTATCCGATGCTGTGGAATAATTGCTATTGTCACAATCCCCTTAAAGTCATTTTCTGAAATGTTTCTGTGTCTTCCAGGTTTAACTAGTGGAGTTGGTTTGTTGCCAGATGGTCCTCTGAATGGAGCTGTTGGAGGGACAGTGATGTTTACCACAGTGAATCCACCAGAGAGTCCATTTGCAACAACTAACTGGTGGTTTGGGGACAAACAAATAATTGTTTCAAATATTCAAAACTACACTTCTCCTGGATATGAGGGAAGAATCACCTTCTTCCCCTCTACTGGATCTCTGGAGCTCAGGAGTCTGTCTCTCAATGACAGTGGAGAATACACAGTCTGGATTACAACTGTGAAGGAGTTTGAAGGCAGAACCACACTGAGAGTTTATGGTAAGACAATGTTTCACTGGTTATTTATCTTAGAGTGCTGAATGGAGGTTATGCACAGCAATTAATGCAAAAAAATAAATGAGTGTGTTTAGGTCTTCAGTGGAGTCATATAAAATGTGTGACAGGTAGTCTATTGAATATAAAGCATCCCATCTGAAAAAGGTGAGTATGTTTCTACAGAAGCGTTCACGAGATAATTCAATTTCTTGTTTTCCTGAATTAACAAGATAATTGTCTCAGAATTATGAAAACACAGATCAAAATCAACTTTGTCATGAAAAGCTATCTTGTAATTTGGAGATATAATCTCATGAATTCAGGGAAACAGAGCAGATTTGTATCTTCTTATGTAAATGCAATACATTTCCTTAAGTACGATTTAGTATGTTTCAATGTGATTAATATATATATTTTTTTTAATATAATATATGACAAAAATAGTAAATACATGTATATTTAAAATCCATTGTGGTGCAGGGCTCTATGTCACATCAGCACCTTTATTACTACCATCAAGTTTTTGGAAGATTTAATTTAAAAATTGAGATGTATCGTTTTTGTTTCATAACTTTGTTTGCTATTATTTTAAAACTAGAAACGTCAATCATATCTGATCAACCACACCTACAAAGTCCTCCTATGATCTATATATCTTAGGCCTTGTGTCTTAAAGCCTTTCAGTCTAACTGTTGCACTTTGGATAATAAATGATCAATGTTATGTTTATGTTTTCAGTTCCTGTTTAAGAAAATATAATATACACATTTACTTAACTCTTACAAATGAATAAATGTCACACATGAATACATAAAGATAAATAAACAATAAGAGAAGAGGAGTAGGTAATACAAAATCAAAGCAGAATAGGTCAGATAATTACAAACAAAACAAAATTCAGGAGGTATATACAAGAAGAATATAAATAGTGAAATGAACTATACAGGACAATTGTGAAAGTATGTGAAGTGAGTGGCAAAAGGTAAATTGACAAGTGATGATTAAAAGTGACCTCTGTAAATAAAAGCTAAAAGTTCTGTAAAGAGTAAGAGCAGTATAGTATAACACAATCAGAGATTGGGTAAAAGCCTGGGGGACAGGAAGTAAAACAACTTTAAATAAACAGTTCCTTTTTTCTTTAACTTCTCTGTTTGTGAAGCTAACAATTAACAAACAGTTTACCAGTGCTGATAGTGAATAGGAGGAGGCTCCAACTGGTTAATCATTGCACCAAGAACCAGTCATCAGATATGATAAGGTGTAACCATTAAATATGCAGAGTGAGTCTGACAGCTGAGCTCATCCCTTCTGGTTTGTGCTCAGTGTATCCATCACACATTTTTAGTATTTACATTCATACTAATACTCATTACATCAGTAATATCATTCAGAAATGAATGGTGTGTAGTTATAGCATTACCTAACTAGTAATTTGATGTTAGTTTGCCAACGTTGATAAAAATGCTGTGTTTTTAAGTCTTGTTTCCAATGCCCCCAAAGCTGGCAGAGAAGTTACTACGGGTTAAAAGATTTCATTAAGACTTGAGGTGAAACCTTTTAAACAATGACATTCAATTAGATGGAAAACACATTTCATGGAAAAGCTCAAAGTCCTTGTTGTTGTTGACTTTTTAAATTGATTGTTAATCTATAGCTGAACCTGTGTTTTTGTTCTTCATACTTTAAAAAAGTTTCTGTGATCTTTTGTCCAACAGAGAGAATATCAAATCCTTCTATCACATCGTCATCAAAGGAGCCAATAGAGGGGAACTCTGTCAACTTAACCTGTGACGCTGCTGGCTCCGTGTTTACCAGAAAGTGGATGAAGGATGGATCTGATCTAAATCAAGCTGACATTATACTTTACGATAACAACAGAGTTCTGTCTTTTCAACGTCTAAATAAAACAGACAGAGGAGAATATTCCTGTAATATCAGCAACCCCATCAACTCAATGGAAGATAAACACGTCTTGGTTGTGAACTGTAGGTGACAAACTACTGTACTCATTAACTGTTCAAAATAATGAGCGTCATAATACAAATCTGCCATTAAAACACAACTTATTTTTACCTGTTACACGTTAAATTGTATTTATTTAACTATAACTGTTTTTCAGACGGACCAGAAAACACTCAAATCAAAGGCCAGCATCTCATATCTTTGGGAGACACCTTCACATTAACCTGTGAGGCCGAGTCTGAACCACCTGCAAACTTCACCTGGTTACTGAATGGGACAGAGATACTCAATTCTCCTGAGTACACTAAAAAGAACGCTGAAGCGTCCGACAGTGGAAACTACACCTGTCAAGCAAAGAATATCATAACTGGAAGATCATCTTCTTCAGTGCATGGAGTGACTGTAACAGGTAACAAGACGGTGTTTATTGTAGATTCTGTTGGTGTGACATGTCTTTGAGATCAATTTGACCAATTAAATGTGTCTGATCTATTTTCAGTTCATGAGACTTTAAAGATTGATTGTTTGTGGGCTTTTGGCCTTTATTATAGGACAATGGATAGAGTAGGAAATGAGTGAGGAAGACATGAGGAAAAGCAGCCACAGGTCAGATTTAAACAGGAGCTGCCTGTTTGGAGGACTATAGACTCTGTATATGGAGCTCATGCACTAGGCTATCATTTCTAAATATTTAGAAATCGTTGCTAAATATTTAGAATCAGGACATGTATGTTTAACATTTATATATAACATTCAACATTTAGATATAATATTTAACATTTATATTTGCCAATGAAATTATCTTACATTTTTATTCACAAAAGTAAATTTGACAAAGTTCACAAATATTTCTCTAAATGTGAATAAAAAGTGATGTTTTAGGACTAAATGTGGAGAAATGTTGTTATTTGTAGTGTGCGCAACTTTACATAAAACAGGAGCCGCCTACTTGGAGGACTATAGACTCTGTATATGGAGCTCATGCACTAGGCTATCAGCGCCCCGATATATTACTGAAGGATTCTCTGAAAATTGTCAAATTTAGAAATGCACTTCTACAGATTAAAATTGTGAGTCTTAAAGTTCTTAAAATATTATTCAAATGAATGATAAGAGGTCGGGAGATTTTGTGGTTTTTATTCCAAGCATTCATTTTCCTTGTTAAAACTGAATCTGGTTCATTACCCATAGTGCATCAATAATCTGTCGGTAGAAATCAGGGGAAGTCAATGAATGCTTTGGATCTGCTGTTAGTATGGCACAGTTCCTGTTTACAGAATATGTTCTTTTCCTCCTCTTTTCTTAGTATCCTCTCCAGTACCATCACGCTGTAGTGGTGGTTGTATCGCTGGAATAGTAATTGCATGTTTGGTGATCCCTGGAGCAGCTGCTGCTGCAGGATACTTTATCTACAAAAAGAAGTAAGTTAAAAGGTCTTTGAAATATAACTGGGAAAGCTTGTTTTTTCATCCCAGTGTGTTTGAATGTAATAGTTCATTATTACTAGTTGTTAGAAAACTGTTGAAGTTTATACCAGCCAGCCTACCAGAGAGTTAGGAAGACTTATCCACTTATGAAGCAGCACAAAGGGCAGAAGTTTAAAAACACAGTGACAGGTTTGTGTAGCGTTGATCGAACACTCGAAATTGAAAGCGACTGGAGGAGAGTTAAATTTTATTACAAGTGTGCAGCTCAGAAGATGTAAAAATGGAGGTGGTGTAAAGACAAAGATTGCTGCAAAACAGAAGGGAGAGTCGGGATCTGAGAAGACACGAGTGAGTTCAGAGGAAAAAGCAGACAGAAAATGTTAAACTAGATTCAGGTTGACACAATGACAGGACACATTTTATATAAAGAAGTGAGTGTAATAACTTCATATCATAACAAGTCAGACATTTTTGTTTCTTAATGAATTGTTGTTCAGAGATGTTGTAATTTGAACTGACTAGCCTTGATTATTGATTAAACATAATGAGCTCAGTAACAGTACTTTCAAATAGACAACTATTAATTGAGATGATCACAAGCATCTATCTGGAAATATTTAATATTTTTTATTATTCTACATTTTAGAGCCAACAGAAAACCTCAGCAAAAAGGGACAGGTAAGAATTCCTCTGATTGAAATGCACCCTTTACTTATCATGTAAATATATAAATATCTACCTACTCATATTAATCTATTGGCTCTTTGTTTCCCAGATAAACTACAACAACCAAAACAAGAAGATGTTAATGAGAACACATCAACAGTATATGATAACACATCAATGGTATATGAAATATATCAACGGTATATGACAACACATGTACGGTATATGAGAACACATCAAGGGTTTCTGAGGACACATTAAGGGTATACGAGTGTATATAAACTCAGCGGTCTTTTGAAGGTAAATTGAACTTGTGCCATGAGGATACATGTATCATGAAGATGGAGCACCAGAAGGAATTTGTCCTCAGAGACTTCATTATCATGAAGTCAAAGCACTTTGTAAACATCTGTTTTAAAAGTGATATTAATATATAAAACAGATGTTTGTATATACAGTATATATATTGTTCTTTTAGGTAATTCTTTTATTTAATACGTTTTTAACTTTCTGAGGCCATAACCGCTCAGCTTAGGATGCTGTTAATAAGAGTTGATCAGTTAGTGGTTGTAGGCGGTGTTGAAGAGGTGAGTTTTCAGGGATAAATTAAACTTAGCATGGGCTTCTACACTGTAGCAATCCTTTATGAGACAATACGTTCTTAGTTTTGGTTTGCACCATATATCTACAGATATATTTCTCTTTGTACATAACAAACATATGTTGGGGTTGTATCAAGTCAACTTTGGTTATATTCTTTAATAATTATACTTAATTATTAATAATATAAATAAAATATCATTAAACTATGTTTAATCTCGTTTTGGGGCACCAACCTGTAATCAGGTAAATATAACCAAAATATCACTCAAATCAGTCTCAAATTAGTTATTTAATTACTAATATTATTAATAATGAATAACTATATTTAATAAATTGAAGGCGTGAAATCCGTACACAAAGCCTTCGCACCCAGCTTATATCACAATGTAAATACACCAGTAACCACAAACAACTGCTCTCTTAAATTATAACAGAATTTATTTAAACAAAGCAACATCAATCCAAAATCAATGAACTTAATTAAACAAATAACTATTATAAACTAATCTAAGCAACAAACATTATCAAGCAAAGGCTTGTGGAAGGGGTGTGAATGTAGGTGTGTGTGTGTGTGTGTGTGTGAGAGAGAGAGAGAGAGAGAGAGAGGGAGAGAGAGAGAGGGAAGAAGAAAGGGGGGAGATGGCTTCGTACCCTCGTGGCCGTTCACGATGGCGCAAACCTAACAAAGACCTGGGTGCGTGCGTGTGTGGATGAAAGGGAGAGAGAAGGGGGGGGAAGATTACTTCGTCCCACGTGGTCGCCCTTCCGATGGCACACACCTAACAAAGGCCTAAATGTGGCCTTAAGGTCTAAAAGAGACTGAGTTCGGCCCTACACGATCTGTGTCTCTGAGGCGTCTGGATAGCCGCGAGTGTATAGATCTCTGTGCGTAATGGCGCGGTGGTGGAGTTGGTCTCCAGATGTACGTTTACACGGGAATATGTGTGTATGTGTATGTTCGTAGAGGGGGAATAAAAGAGAATAAAAGAGAAATGCGTGCCTGAAGAGGCCGGATCACAGTCCGACTCCCGCGCCACAACTCGGAGTAATTCCCTTCATTCACAGAAACAAACCAATAGCCGAATTCAAGTTAATACGGCTTACACTGGCCTTTCTGATCAGAAGAGTAATACCCAGTTATAACGCTGTTACGCTAAACACATATAGGATGCAGCGGTCCGAAACAACAACAAGAGTTTCAAACAGTTAAAACTCAGGACGCAGGTCCAACAAAGATAAAAATTACAGTTTCTGCTTTGATCAACAATTGTTAAAAACACTCTCTAAAGCTAATTCTGCCCAGACCTAATTAAGCCTCACTTGTGAATCGCTTTGCCCGCGATTGGTGAAAGGAAAAGAGTCCGGCGATGGAGCAGATCTTCTGTCCGTCCTGGTGCAGAGGCGTCTGATGGCGGCGAGGCTCCCTTACGGCGAGAGCGGCTTCGTTGGTTCGCCGTCGAGTGGAAAGATGTCCCTTGATGTCCTTTCGTTGCAGGACGGAATAAGACCGTTATCTTTCTGATAATCTGGTATAGTCTGACGCTCTCCGAGAAACTGAGATGCGTTCACTGGACAATCCGAGCTCGGAATTTAGAACACTGCCGGCCGCGGATTACCTGCGCGCCAAAACTTAAAACAAAGGAAGATTGTTGCAGGAAACAGGAGATCTTCTTGGGTCTCCGAGCACCGAAGGTCAGCGCGTGAAAGAGGTCGAGCAATGGAAGTCTTGGAGTTTTGTAGCCTGGCCTGCACCATGGGGGCCTACCTCAGGTCTCCTCCAATGAGGAGGAACCAGGAACCCCCAGACACCAGAAGCATAATCTGACACTGGACACACACATGAATGATAGAGTTGTGTATAAATCTGAAATCCCAGATTACCACAGTGTTTAACTTTGTTCAGTACAGATCCCAGAGCTCGACCAGCTGACTGAGTCAAAACACTCATAGCTTCTTTAAAAGTCATGTGTTCATCCAATGTCAAGCCAAGATATTTATATTGATCAGCATATGATTGTTGTGCATAAATTAAAAATAAATGGACTTCTTACTCATGATTTTTGCTTGAAATGTACTACTTGTGTTTTGTCTTCATTTGCCACTAGTCTCCATTTCAAGCACCACTCTGCAACAATATTCAGCATAATCTGTAAATCATCTTCATCTTCAGCCAGTAGAACTACATCATCCGCATATAATAATATTCCAACAATCTGATCGTCCACTTTAACTCCCACATTAGAGGTTTTAATTTGAAGAGCTAAATCGTTGATGTAAATAGAGAACAATGTCGGAGACAAAACATCTCCTTGCTTCACTCCAAATTGTTGAGGAAACCATCCAGTTGTGTATTCATTAACCTGGACGCAGGCAACAGGTGCTTGATAAAGAGACTTTACGGCGGAATAAAATTTCACATTCACACCAGCACTTAACCTATATTGTAGAAGCTCCCTATTTATCCAGTCAAACGCCTTCTTGTAATCAATGAAACAAGCAAATGTTGATCTCTTTTCCTTCATTGTAGCACGTATTATTGAGGTGACTACATATACATGATCAATACGTGCTCTAGCTTTTCTGAATCCATTTTGCTCATCCACCAGAACACCCGTTCTCTCAAGGTGGTCAACTAGTCTGCAGATTAAAATCAAAGAATACAATTTATACGACTAATAAGACTTATACCCTTGTAATTGAGTGGTATCCTAGGTATCCTATTTTTTGGAACTCAAGGAAGCACAAATCAAATTTGACAAGAGGTTACGCACAGTGAAACTCAAGTTTAATAGAGGCCTTTCATTGCACATTGATCACCTTCAAACCCACAATCCCCAACAGACTTGGAATTAAATTAATAGATTAGGGTCTTGAAAGTCTAGTGGAATTCCTATGGAAATGAAACTAGAGAGTGGGAAATGTACTTCTGATTTTCGAATTTTACGAGATAAATGGGAGAAAGATTTTGCAGATCTTTTCTCTAGGTGCAATGATTCATTTGATGATGCTTTCTTGAAGGAAACAATCATCTTAAAAGAGGTAATGGAGTCTGAAATGTTATCTGATGTAAATAATAGTAATAGATTTTTGAATTAAAATTTTTCAGTAGAGGAGGTAGAAATTGTAATACAAAAATGCAAATTTAAAAAAGCTACCGGAACTGACGAAATTTCAAACAAAGTGCTTAAGTCTCCAAAGCTGTTCAGTATATTATATGAGTTATTTCAGTTCTGTTTTGATAATTTGATTCCACTAGGATACCACTCAATTACAAGGGTATAAGTCTTATTAGTTCTATAAAATTGTATTCTTGGATTTTAATCTGCAGACTAGTTGACCACCTTGAGAGAACGGGTGTTCTGGTGGATGAGCAAAATGGATTCAGAAAAGCTAGAGCATGTATTGATCATGTATATGTAGTCACCTCAATAATACGTGCTACAATGAAGGAAAAGAGATCAACATTTGCTTGTTTCATTGATTACAAGAAGGCGTTTGACTGGATAAATAGGGAGCTTCTACAATATAGGTTAATTGCTGGTGTGAATGTGAAATTTTATTCCGCTGTGAAGTCTCTTTATCAAGCACCTGTTGCCTGCGTCCAGGTTAATGAATACACAACTGGATGGTTTCCACAACAATTTGGACTGAAGCGAGGAGATGTTTTGTCTCCGACATTGTTCTCTATTTACATCAACGATTTAGCTCTTCAAATTAAAAACTCTAATGTGGGAGTTAATGTGGACGATCAGATTGTTGGAATATTATTATATGCGGATGATGTAGTTCTACTGGCTGAAGATGAAGATGATTTACAGATTATGCTGAATATTGTTGTGTTACACCCCTGTACAGCGTACTGTAAGGGGAGAAATAAAGAAGAAAGAAACAAACACGTTGTTGCTGGCTTTCATTCAATGGTGTAATGAATGACGCTCAGACAACACGCTCCCCCTGCTGGCGTAAAACCGGAAGTGTAAAACAATAACAAAAGCTTAAGACCAAACCAATCAATTACCGATATGCTTTTAAACTTAACCTTAGCAGCATGAATTAACATTAAATTATAACTAGCTTTTTAGCATTTTTAAAGGATATACAACATTTTAGAAAGACACTAGTTTTAACATGTATTATTAATTTAACTTAGTGCACAATCTTATATCCATTACATACTCCCCTCCAAAACAAATGTCGTCCCGACATCACCAAAATTAACCATTACCACCTTTATCAAGTGCATGAAACAGCTTTCTAAACTATGCACTAGTTCACACCTTTAGCTTAATCACGTGAGCACTCAAATTTTGTTCAACAGTCCATGAGTATTTTTTATGTGTCTGCAAACTCTCTGCTCTTCAAAAGTCCATGAGAATGGTATATGTATGTGCAAGCACTCAGCTTTTTCAAAAGGTCCATGAGTGTATTAATCTGTACCAAGCATTCTGCTGTTAAACAGTCCATGAAGATATGAATTGTGTGAATGCTGTAGAAGCCTTGCTTCTTTTGCAAACAGTCCATCAATGTATGAAATGTGTATGTATGGAAGCACTTGGCTTTTCAAAAAGTCCATAAGTGTATGTATTGTGTATGAAAAAAAAAAAAAGTCTTAGCTGTTATCATTTAATGTCCAGGTGCAACAACTGTGTGATAGTTAAAGGGTTGTACCGGGATCATCCACGCGCCTGCTGCTTGCATTGCTCCATGGGACACTGGCGGGTACCAGAACATAGCATTACCTGGGGGCCCAGCGCTGTAACAAACTGGATGGCCCAGCTGATCATATGTGAAGACTTTTGGAGCTCTTCTCTCTCTGACTGGCCGCTGGTGTCCTTGCTCTGTTCCACTGTTGTTATCTGCTGGAGCAGTTGACATCGGTGCTGGCACTCTGTCTTCCAGGACAGATTCTCCGCGTGTTCCCTCATTACCTGATGTCTCCTCTTGCTCCATGACCTCCTCGTGTTGTGATGTCTCTTCTTCATTTAGTGTGTCATCTCTGAGATCAATCTCTTGCTGCATGTCTTGTAGCTGATGATCAACATGCTCTGTGGTTATCTTGAGTTCCCTGTTAGCATCCTCCCTATCTGTATTTACCTGTGGCTGAGTTACGAGAAGTGGCTGCTCCCGGGG